TAAACAATCGCCAGTCAAAGCCAACCGTTGAGATTGGTAAAACCCTACATTACTTTAGCGGTGGGTACGTACCTACTTTCAAATAAGATCGTTTACATTATAAAGGCCTGGCTACACTATGCGTTTTCTGCGTGCGTTTTTTTGCGAGTTTGCGTGATTTGCGTAATATCGTTCTAGAAAAAAGTTATTACTAATATAAGTTCTTTAATATTTATATAACAGTTAATAAAACTTTTATATTAATTGAAAGTTTATATGAAAACATATAATAAAAACGTAATGTCGTTTCTTTCTAGAACGATATTACGCAAATCACGCAAACTCTAAAAAACACGCAGAAAACGCATAGTGTAGCCAGGGCCAGGCCCTGAGATGCAAACAAACATGGCCATTGACGGCAGACCATCGAGTCGACATACGGTCCGTCCTGCAGTATGACGACCTTAGCGAGCCCTGGTGGCCAGTCAGACAACTAAAAAGGAGGGCGATGAGCAGATGGCAGCACTATACTGCTCGTCTGCTCCATCCACTGGCAGTCCGCAGGGTAGGTACGGAGGAATCCGTTTCGCACTGCACATATTCGGATGCTAGCAGTTTATGAAGTCGGCATTTAACAAGAGTTTTTGTGTAAATATCTCAAAATAATAAGAGCGCAACCAATTCATGAGAAACTGCCAGCCAATGCGGAAATGTGAACCAAATGAGCAGCTGCCAGCTAGTGCTAACCGAATGATGTCCATGGTCAGATGCGCTGATCGGTAGAAACTTCTTGATCAACAATCAGTAGCCACTCCAACATATTTCAACTCCATTCCAAGCTCCGCCTCTAACTAAAACTAACCACCGATCGACGAATCTCTGACAATGCCGGCCACCCCCGGCCCAACTACGGGTCTCATCACAGGGTGGATCTCCACCACCGGCATGCAGCTCGAGCTGTGGGCGGGTTGTTACCTCCCGATATGGTCACGAAGAGCTGTTGGAGCCAGTCGCCGCGAGTACCCTCCCCTCTCTCATTCCCCAGTCCGTCACGGCAGAGCACGTGCCGGTAGTGAGAGGGATGAGGATGGGAGAGCGAGAGGGGATGGGAGAGAGAGAGAGAGGGGGGAAGAGGGAGAGGGAGAAAGGGAGGATGAAAGAGAGACTCGACTACCCCATGAGCGATAAATGGATAGAGGTTGGACAATAGATTAGCGCGATATGAAATTATGCCGAATAAAAACGGCTTTTCTAAATGGTGTGGCACCCCTATACCATTACCTACCCATGACAGCTGTAACGGATAAATGAATTTAATGGGGACACCACTGTTGTGCACGTTCGAGTTCAGATGTGCTCAATGAATCTGTAGGAGGTTATGAAGAATTAGCTTCCATTATTCCAGAGGCAACAGCCAACGCATTTATCTATACAGAGCTATTCGTTGTTTGCACGTCATACGAATGTTCAAAGAAGCACGAACGACGCATCTCGATAGGAGATTTGCTCTCACGAAAACGACCGGTCAGCTATGCACACCAGCTCGTCCCGGCTATCACTTCAATCCCGTGAACCAAAACGGTCTGAATTCGTGTGAGTTGCAGAGCTCACAGAGAGGTATGATCATCACACGAAGCCCGCCGAATAAGGCTCCACCGCGGGGTTGTCTGGGCGCTGGAGCAGAGTCTGTCCCTGATAAAAGCTTTTCAAGATATGTTCGATTGACCCATAGCATGTTCTTTGTTCAGAATCGGGCCACATCCAGCCACTGTTTCCTAACGTTCAGCTTCTGTGTCCGTTCGGCAGCCCCAGAGCCGTGACACCACATCGGCCGGGTTTTGTGCGTGTCAGCCCGGACCAATTACAGCGGACCTTGCGCAGACGCCTGGAGGGAAGGGCTCAGTGCAGACCCGAGCTGATAAACGTACCGGTCCACTCCATCTCGTCCATTATAGATAACCGACCCGTAATGCCTCCGCAGCTATATCGCTGATGGCTGGAGCGACCGTGAAGCACGAACTCGGGGGACCGAATGCCTTCAGCGCCGACAAAAAGCGGTCGCCGGAAAGGAAGATGGATCAGCCAGGCCTCCCCATCCTTCTACTTCATCCAGATTCCAGGAGAGAGAAATAGCATAATTAGAGTTCTTAGAGACTTCCCATGGCGATATCCATGGGAAACAGACGACGAACTGAACGTAACGACATAAGCCGCTGGATCGCTCTTATTGAAGCAAGGGCCGATACGGTTCAGTGACACTTGTGTAAAAATAATCTAAAATAACAGCAACAACGGCAACGCATGTCTTAATTTGAAGCTGAACCTTGGCTACAAAAGCTATAATCATACATTCTGAGTTATGACTGTTCCTCTCATAAGCTTCAGATTCAATCAATGCAATGAGGAAGGTAGGTATAGAATATTGAACATGCAAATGAGCGCAAGATAAAGAATTGGCCTGCATAAATGCGGCAAGACCAGTGCAGGGACCGCTACGGACGGTACAGGACGATACTGCAGGAGCAGTAACACGGGTCAGGGTGACGAGAGAGCCTCAGGCGACACGGGAGGCCGATGCTGACTGAACCCCGGTGCGCAGGGTGGCCTCCGCGCTGATTGTGAAGCGTGACCGTACGGCCGCCGCGGGACGCGATCCGTTCCAGACCAGCGATAGTCCGCCGGGCATCGCGGACCTTCGCCGGCCACTCTGAACTTCCACTGAAGGCCCGTGTCGAACGCGGTGCGTGGGGGAGAGCGTGACGGCCATGACGGGTAGCACCGACTATCAGTGATAGTGCCGACGCTCATGACGCATCGACAAAGTGACGATGCTTCTGGATTTTCTTATTACATTCTTTGCTGAGAAAAGTAGAAGTGTGAGGACTTTAATTGTGCACAACAAAAAAACGTTCAAAAGTAGGTACGCAACATTAAATAACATTTTACGAAATTCGATTCATCGCATTCTACGCCAAACAGTTTTTAATCATTCTTTTGCTTTTACACCTCTCACCTCACATTTCTTAACTACCATCTATCGTCCTTGTTCTCCATTCGTCGCGCCCTGCAGACCGGGCAGTGCGCCGTGTCCACGGAGGCTGCTCTCCGACCGATCCAGTTACACGGTCATTACTCCCCGGACGATCTATCCCTCGTCCGCAGCCTTCAGCACGCCTAGCGCAGGTGCGAGCACCGACAGCGGCACCAGCCGAGTGGAAAACACCCGTGAGACAGCGAGAGGTCGACGGGTGACGGATTAAAACGTTACCGACCGGCGCCGAACAGCCAGAGCGATCAGCCAGTGACGAAAGTGAGGGGTCAGAGCGGTCGGCTGGGTGCAGATATATGGGATTACAAATGGATACAATAGAGCGCGACGGGCAGGGTTTCTGGCACACAGACGCGAAGAAGACACATCCTGCCCGAGGTTTCCGGCCAACAAAACACGATGCGGTCTAGGTGTACACAGGTTTGAAAAGCGACATCCGCCGGGTGAGCGGTACGACCTCACACATCCTGGCGGCTCCGTTGACATTCAAAGGACGTCCTGCGCCCGTCTAAGGACGGCACACATCCGGTCAATGAATGGGTCTTTTACCCTGGCTCTTCAGCCGTCCGCTCCTCTCGCTCGCCCTTTCTCGTCTCTCGCTCGTCCCTCTACATCGCTCCCCTGCCATTCTGCCAGCGTTCAGAGCCCTGCGCTTTTTCGGCCGGTTTAATTCAAAGACCGGTCGGTCGACAGCCCTCTGTTTTGTCGCCGGGTGTCTGGACGGGACGCGTGCGGCCTTCAGCCTTCCACCTGGTGCAGCAGCAGTGCCGTTTCACCGTTCAGCTGCGCCTGCGACGAGCGGCGCGCGAGTGCCGTCAAAACCCGCCCGACCCTCTCCATTGAGAGGCGCGTGAGTTCTAAAGGGCCGCCGCTCGGCTGGGGACACTTTACAGCCGCGCTAATCCCCTCGGGCAGCAGGTGAAGGGCCCGGTAACCGCGGCGGTTTGGGCGGTGCCGCGGCGGTTGGGTGATGGGCGAGAGGTGAGAGCGGTGGTCGCGCGGCGCGGGCTCCTCCAGTGATCTTCAGTCACCGGCCTCGGGGTAGAAGTCCTCAACTCTGCTCGTCAGACAGATATGACCTTCACGAGCCGCGAATACCGTCCGTTTGAAATCACCGCCAACAGCTCTCCTGACGTGGATAGTGATTTCACAAGAATGCTGGAGAGCCGAGATATTTGGCGAGGCTGAAAACCTGCCTCCCGACTCAGACAATCCATAATTGGCATAGTGACTCCGAGTTCGGAGTGCTTATAAAGTTGGGGACTAACGTCTTATTTAAATATTACTGGTTTCCTATCACATGGTCCTTGCCAATTGTCACATCTTCTGAAGGATATCTTACGCGTTTTGTTTGACGAACTATGTTGACGCATCCTACAAAATCTATTGACGGAGTATCACTAATCACCTGTCCGCAAACAGTCCCTGTCGACCCCGATCCGCGCACACCAGAGGACAGCGATGACTGTCGTTTTCTCCCCTCCAGACACCCTACGGAACCTCACCGCGGTCAAGGCTCCCACCCGTAGACAGCCTCCCCTCCACCCGAGATCTGACAGATTTGCCGTAAATTACGGACGTTAGCGCTGACCGGTCGGATTCCGGGTCAAGGCGCGGAGCTGTGTAAGTTGCCCGGTGGCGGTGCTGGCTCACTATCGCGCTGCACATCGGGTGGTAAAACGTCAGACGGTCCGCGCGGCAGCCGCTCATGTTTGCCGACTGGCCGGATTCAAATGGCCTCGAGTCGAGCCATTGAAGAAGCCATGTTACGGTGCAATATCCAGGTACTTACTCAGCACTGAACCGGGACGAGGCTATTCAAACATACAGCCACTTAAATGGGCAAACACTTCAGAGTCATTTAGCGGAAAATGCAACTCATACAGCAGCCAACGACTAACATTAGCTTACTTCCCTACTCTTATATGGTGGCATGAGAGATGACCCACGTTGCCATGAAGGCCAGACTCACCTGTGGCATGGAGGGCGGTCTGACTCCCTTCTTCCTGCCTCTCCGTCTGGGCGGCACGATGTTATTGTCTCCTCGCTCCTCCGGTGACTGGAACTTAAAGCTATCACTGCGCGAGACCGCATTTCCACTGCGCTCTTTGTCCGCACCGCCGCGCACGCGTCTCATCACTCCTCGGCCCTTCACCCTGAACTCCTGCAGTGTGTCGATGAGTCCGCGCGGCGGCGGCAGCGTCGACGCGTGCAGGTCGTCCGTTGACACCGACAGGCGGGTCAGGTAGAGCGGCGACAGGTCCGACTGACACCGGCGCAGCGCGTACACGTCCAGCGCGTCGGCGTCGATGAACAGCTCGGGCGGACGCTGCTTCTCGGGCGGCTCGGCCGGAAACAGCCGGCCCGGCATAGCGCTCAGCTGCTTCAGGATCTTGGCCATGACGCTGGCCGATCAGTAGAGGGTGGGCATGGTGTCCTGCAGCGGTCGGCACGGGCCGGCGCGGCGCGGCGCGGCGCTCCCGGCGCACCTGTGAACAAATTTGGCGCGTCAGACGAATGGCAGTGTCACCGGCACGGATATATCGTGACCTTGGAGGAGGTGTACGAGTGGATTACCAATGAGGCAGAAGATACGCTCCGAAAGACACCAGATAGCTCTGAGTTTGATGGCATATTTCGAAGAGGTGAATGTACGGAAACAATCGCTCCACACACTCAGGTAGTAAAGGACGGAATTACTCAAGTCACGCAGAGAGGAAGGTTTGAGTTAGTGTGAAAATTGTCCCACGATTGAACCGGTTAGGTATAAGTGAGTCACAAGCGCGTTACGACATTTCGGGCACAATCTGGACTGATTGACATCTTGCGATGAATTTAATTGCATTCCACAATTTTTTTTATCGGAACAATGTTGGCCTGCAACTATAGCAAACCGTTCGATCATTGTGCTCAGTATATAGGTATATGCTCAGCGAATCGGGTATCCACATTCCACAGGCATTATTTATCATCAGTGCCGACAGTTGGGACGATCACGGAACCACCAAACGACAATTCTAACGACTTGAAATGGTGGGCGACCACCGACCGAAGAAACAAATAGAAAAAAAAAATAGGCGGTCGGACTATTAGGTGACGAACAATCCCTGACGGGAGCGCCCGCAGACGAACGGACGAACGGTTCACGAGAGCTCGGTTGAGCGGTCCCGTGGAACGCTCCCGTCTCTGGGCAGCTGTAAACGCTTCCCCCGGAGCTCCTGGATCCGCCTCCCGTCTCTCGTCTCTCGTCTCCCGTCTCTCGTCTCTCCGTATCCGTGTCCCCGCCCCGGGTCAGTCTCACCCACAGCGGCGACCAACGGTCACCGTAATTGCCTTCCAAGACCGGCGCTGCGTTTTCAAGCCCCGACAAGGCGTAATGGTCGGTCCGCGCAGCGTGGTGCGGGGAAACTCACCACTTCAAAATCGCCAATTACAGCCTGTGCCGCGCGGAGAAACCTCCGCCGGGCGGAGAAGCGGGACGAGTGACGTGCAGAGTGACCGGGCCGCACATGACGGAACGCCGCCTCTGATAGCGCACCCACTAACGCTGCAGTCACTGACATTCATTGTCGAGAGTTATGACCTTGTGTGTGCTGAATGTCACCCCGCCCACTCCTCCGCCCCTCTGTCACCAACTCGCCGCACCCTCCCCCCGCCCCCCCCCCCCCCTGCGGCCCCAAAGGACGTCTGTCATCCGACTTGAGTGACCAGTTGCGGTATTAGCGTCCATCTAATCAGCCCTCGCAGTGTAGGGTGTGCCGAAAACCCGACGTGCCGCACGTACCTAATCAGCGCCTAAACTCTCCGTCACCGCAGCGCCGACGGCGACCGATCTGCCACCTGGCGGCCTTTACTATAAACACCCTCGGGTCGGCGCTACAAGTCAGAGGGGTCGGGGAGCGAGTTTTTACCTCGTGCCATCGATCAAGACCATATCGCTGACAGTCTGGTGTCACGAGCTGAGGCCCGACGCGCCTCTGCTGTGACACTGGCCGTGGTGCGACACGCTGAACTGACATTCCCTGTGACCAGCCATGGGTCTGGGCCGGTCTGAAGGGAGAGGGACGGGCAGCCCGTGCGTTTATTTTGCTACATTGCCATCGCGCCGAGATGGGGCCTATGTCAAAAGAGTGCAGATTCACTAGAGGCAATGATCCTCGCTGACCGGAGTCTGTCGATTACAAAGCTTTGGAAGCGTTATGGCGCTGTGAAACATCTCGGGAGAAGACGATCGTCAGGGTAGGTAGGTCGAATTGTGAGCAATTTGAAGCGTTTTGAGTGAGTTAATGACAGACAATGCCAGGAGATATTTCACATTGCAATGCTAAGTCCTAAGTCCTATACAGACTGGTTGTGAATGAAGAGGATTTGCGGATGGCCTGTATTCCTCGTCAGGTCAGATGACCATGCATGTACTACTTCGTAAAAATGACCGTCACTCATGAGTCACAGATGCCGCTGTCAGCTTTTGAATGAACATTCTGAGCATCGTATGCATGGCTCACCACAAGCGGGAGTCATCGCCATTAAAACACAAGCGAGCCAACCTATTTGGGTAATTCCTTGCACACAGACCTAACGACTCATTTCATCCGGCCGTTGCCGACCGAACAATGCCCAATAATATTCCTGTGGTCACTCTGCTTGCCCATGAGGACCCCAAAACGCCTCCGGCAACGCAGTGAAACACACACCATTCAGGGAAACAATCAACATCCGACCAGCAATCGCCAATGACGTCATCGTTACCAATGACGTCATCAGGCCAATGGCAGCGTCTCGCGTCACCACGTCTGCGGTACTGGCGGACCCGTGATTATCCCGGCGCTGCCCCGCCCGAGCGTTCAGTTCCGCCTGCAGTGACCCCGTCCTATGACTCAGGAACCGCTCGACGGAACGAGCAGGCAGGTGGCAGGTATCGATATAAACGAGGGTGGAATACAAGGAATATACCCGGAGCTGCCGCAGGCGAGTCAGGCTCGCTGATCGGACCGATCGCGGCACACGGCGGTGCACATTTCCGTCGTTTGACGGCGCGGCTGCCGTCGTTTGGCGGTGTTTTCCTGGAGCCGCGGTCACCAGGAGCGTGTAGTGTCCACCTCAGTGTGACGGTATGATGGTATCAGAGACGTTAGACGGTGCACGGCATGGTTAGAGCTCGCGGAAGGCGTCCGGTGTTCACAGGGACACGGACCCACTGGTAAGGGTAGAACCATGGGTAAATACGAGAGCTATAAATATGAATATTTATGTGCAGTGAAAACAACAAAATACATAAAGCTCAACAAAACACGGAAGCGTCTTATTAGCGGTACTGTAAACGCAACTTATCTTTAGGTATCAGCCATGATGGAAGGAGAAATAATGTAAGAATATATGAAAAGACGTTTCCTGAAGGACAGGTAAGTCAGATCTGCTGCTTCATGCACGCTTAGGTGTTGTACTGTTGACTTTTTGCACTCTGTGCCTAGGTTTTGGCATACAACATGTGAATATCATGCAAACTTTTACGTCTGTGTATGAGTTCAGTATCTAAAATAAATACATGCTATGATAAGACTAATTGTAATGGTGTTTCAATTTTGTTCGCAATAAAGTTGACGACACAAATAGGTGTACAATTGCAGAATTGCATAGTGAGGCAAATTATGCAAAACAACTTACGTAAAGCACAGACGCCAGGTTACAAGTATGACGGAAGAAAAGCCAGGCCAGCCACCAAAGTTTCAGCGTAATAAAATCGGTTAAAATCTGTTACATTAGAGTCCCGAATTTTCTCGAGCCAGAGCCACAGATCACCGTTCGCCAAATCTCACTTTCTGCCGTTCGGAGGCGTGCAGACCCGGGTTAACTGCCGCTCACGGACTGCGGAGCTACGTCATGCCGCTTTCGATTTCGATGTCGGGGTCCGGGTCACCACAGGGTATGAGAAAACCACACGACTAATGGCAGGGTGCCTGAGAGGCTTCCGCGTGCGCAGCTGATAGAGCAGGGGTGAAGTGAGAGGCCGCCTCCTCAGAACTGAGGATTTTCCGCCGCGTGTCGGTCGTGAGGTAGGTGGGATAAAGGATGTATTTATTTCAGATGAGTGATGCCTTTGAGTTAAAGAAGTGTGCATCCACAATGCAAGGTTATCCTCATGTTCAATGTCAGAACAGCTGCGTCAGGCCGGAACATGAGTTGATGAAGCCAGGTAGAACAATGAAGTTCTCTTCTAGCGAAATTCTGCCGGTGCCATGTATCATAAGTTTGACCTGGTAGAAACAATGGCCTCTGGGATAAAGCTCAAGGCCAGAGCCACAGCAAAAGGGAAGGCGTAACCTTCAGCCTCAAAGGCAGGAGGCAACGAGTAGTTCACACGTTAAATGACATGTATTCACCATTCGGCTAGATAGTTTCCTCCATGGAAATGTCACGCATTTTGGTATCACTATGCTCAAAATGGCTACAATAGGCGATACGAAGCTCAAGTGCAAGGCATATTGCATAACTCAGCTTTGCTATTGCTAGCTTCGCTACATTTTGAATGAAAGCGCTATGCGGTTTGCAGAATGGAAAAGTCGGTGTAATTCCCCTTAAATAATAAGAATGCATGCTTGCATTTTTGGGTTCGTGATAACTCTTAAACCTTAAACTTTTATGCATGCTGCAAAACCCAGTTCCGCATTATGGCAAAGTTAATGTGGCAACTAAATACTTCCGTGTAAATCCCTCCGTGTTTCGTGCAGTACCGGGTCAAATCCGCCAGCGCTATCGTCCTTGTCCCGCCCTCTAGCAAGGTCACCTTCCAAACCAGGACGGCACAGTTCTGGGTAGCACAGCACATATGGAATAACCGATCACATGAGTGATTAATTGACAGGTATGAATCACCGTATCACGGCATGCAGCCCTTTTCGGGCGCGCCTCGGGGGCGGCGGGGCGCACCACCCGCACCCAGCAACGTGCCGCGTGCAGAGCCAGCGAACCGGGCGGTCAATTGTGCATCCTCATTCCCAAAGTCACCAAACAATGCACTTATCTCATGAATCACATTTCACCTCCATATAAGACCACCGATCTCCAATAAGCCGACGGCAATTAATTTACGTTCGTAACGGTGCCGGTAAAGCCGTGCTGCTCCGGCCAGCCACGAGCCAGCCAGCCAGTGCAGTGGTGGCCGGACAGTCACCGCCACGTCATATAAGGCGAGTGCCGGATCACCGTCCCACCGTTCCGTGCTTCTATCCTCAGGATACAGAAATCCTTCTCCTCCACGCCGCAACCCCACTCCGGGCTGGACAGGCACTTTTATCTCATGCGGGCTGCTCCCTTGGAGCGGCACCGCTGCTCCCGAGGGAGCGCACCCCGTAGCCGGGTGCAGTGAGTGCTTGGGGGGCTGGTCGGCCTGTCCATTTGGACGGGCTCAGCCCCGGCAACTCTCTAGGGTGTCTGCCCAGACCAATGTCTCCCCCTAATTCCTATCATCCTTCCGGCTCTGCAATGGTCT